GGCAAAGGTGGAGCTCTTTCCGAGGTGCTGCCACACGTTGGGACTAAAGGTGCCGTCGGGTTTCGAGGCGTTTTCCAAGACAAAGACGTTTCCTTCCAACTTCACCTGGACGTCCGAGGACGAAGCCGCTGCCAGCTGCTGCCCAAGGGTGGCATCGCCGGCACTGATGACAATGTCGGCGTCCAGGGGGCAGGAGGTGACCAGGCTGCCCGAGGCTCCCGAATGGACCTTGATCATGACCTTGCCAGGCACCTGCAGGAGCGTCGCCGGCCCGTCGCTCTTGGCAAGAGCCACCATTCGCGGCACGGCTGCCTTCCCGGCGCCCGCCTGGGTGGTTTCTGCACCGGCCACAGACGCTTGCACTACGGACAGCTTCTTCACCGGGGGGCCCTGGGTCTCCCCAGCAAAGGGAGAAGGGAGTCTCTTCCGCAGGCTCTTCACGTACAGTTTGTCGCTACCGGGAGGCGAGCTGATGCTGCCGGTGCCAGAAAAACCTGGCGTGGCGGTCAAGGGAGTGGCAGTGCTTGGGCTCCCGTCGGCGGAAGGGGCCGAGCGGCCTTCGCTGGGCTGGGCCAGGCCTTTCTTTCCAACGTCCCCCTCCCTGCGATCACAGCCCTGAGAGCATTTCACGTCTCCGACACCCTCCTCCGGCCGAACCTTCCAGGCCTCGGCTTCCTCTTTCCTCTGCTGACCAACAGACACACCAGCTGGAGGGCCCTTGGCCGCTTTGGACACGTCCGGATTCTCTGGTCCCTGGAGCGGGCTCTCCTCCACCACCACCACCACCTCTGGCTCCATTTTCACCTCCACGGAAGAGGTGGCCGGAGCCGAGCCCCCTCCGCTGGTTCTGGGGCCCGGAGACTGAAGGGAAACCACGGAGCCATTCTTAATCTGTGGGACGCTCCTCAACTCTTCCGCTGTTCCAGCCAAGCTCCCTGCAGGGCCCGTGTGCTTGACCGGCGTGGTAGAGGAGCTGCTCGGGGCAAGAGAGATGGCAGTCATTTTGACCACGTTCATGTGCTGAGCGGGGACCACCGTCTTGATGGGGCTGCTCGTGAACAGCACGGTCGTCGGGGAGCGGATGGTGAGGGCGCTGGTGTTGGCCGGCTTGGGCAGGATCTGGGGATACCGATGCCGGGCCGACCGGTCCCCGACTGGACTGGCGGGGATGTTCTGAGGCGTCTTTGGGGACTGCTTGACCGACTGCATGTGCTGCGTCACCACCTGGACGTTGAGCGGGAGGACTTTGCCCTCGGAGGAGCCCACGGGGCCAGGCGAGGTCACCAGTGGCCGGGACCTGGGCACCTGTTGGGAGAGGAGGAGAGAATTCAGTTCGTGGGCGACTCAAGCAAAGGGCGCTCCTGGAGAAAAACTAGGCCAGGGGCTCCTCCTTCATTCCAGCAGCAGCAGCAGAAAGGGAGGGCGATGGGCCGGTAGGACGGAGCCCTGACGGGGACCCCCGACGGCCGTTTCTCCGCCACACCTTCGTGACCCCCGCCCTCCAGCTCCCACAAGTCCTGGTGCTTTTCTTTTTCAAGATGAAGTATTACTAAGATTTTAATGAAGAGGTTTCAAGGGACTTCAATTCTAACTGTACTTTAACAGGCTAATCCGTTTAATTTTATATTAAATCTCTGCCACTCTTCTGTGTTATGTGTCACTAAGTGACTTCCTATTTTTTAAAATGTTTTTATTTATCTAAAACATAAACATAAAATACACAAATCGAAATACAATATAACTATGTTCCCCACCACCATAGACGGGACCTCTTGCTATAATCTTCTTCTTACATTTATATTCTTCCTCTTCTTTTATTGTTCACTTCTCGAGAACTGCATTGATTCTTAGATCTGGAGCTTTCCCCTTTCCTCTTGTCAATACTGCCCCATATTTCATAAAAACTATTCTTTTTCAACTCTCCTTTCTTAACCTTTAAATTACAAGTTAATTTATCATTTAGATAGTCCACATTTCTCTATACCATTCATCCATTTGAAATTCAGGATTTTGATTTCCATTGCCTAGCTATTATTAATCTCGCTGCTGTTAATATATTAGTTATCAGTTCTTTTATCATCTTATCATATTCCACATTTTCAAATATTGATAACAAAGCGATCTCAGGATTCAATTCTATATCTTTTCCACATATCTCATTTAATTCTTTAAATATTTGTTTCCAAAATCTTTGTACTATTTCACATTCCCACCACATATGAAAGTATGTACCAATTTCCTTCTCACATTTCCAACAGACATTCAGATAACTAGCATTAAATGTATTTAATTTTGTTGGCGTTAAATACCATCTTAGTCACTGAGTGACTTCCAACTTATAGTGACCTTCACAGGGTTTTCAAGGTGAGTGAGATATTTAAAGAGCAGTTTTAATGCTGCCACCACCACCACCACCACCACCATGGCTGAGTCAAGATTTGAATCCAGGTCTCCCATTTGTCACCCTGTGCACAACACCAGACTGGGTCCCCCTTAGGGTGCCTTAATGCTATTGTTCTTCACTAAACTGTGAGCTCCCTCAGGCCCCAGATTTGGGAGAAAGGAGGCATGTAAATAATGAGAACTAAATCAACTTGGGTTGGATTGAATTGGACTGAATGAAAACATGGCATTTACCCCACTCTGGAAAAAAACCTGCTTGACATGGCCAACCTTCTCCGCCTCCAGAAGGAGCCCTTTCCAACTCCTTCAGACTTTTCAACCCCTGGAGAGATTGGGCCGAGGCGCTCGCCTCCTGCCCGACACAGACGCTGCCCTCAAAAAGCCACTCAGGGGTGTTTAGCTGCCAGTCATCTGACCCATTTTATCTTTTATCAGATAAACATTTGAATTATAACCACTCCAAGATTTCATTACTCTAAGAGATATGTATCTACGGTACAATAATGGTCACGATTACAATGTCCGCACTTTTAGTATTATCACTGATTTTCTTTTAACATTTCATTTTTATTATTTTACACATTTTCCCCCAATAAAGACATATATATTCAAGAAAATTTCCTCTTTGATCTACCCCTCAGTATAAACCACTGCAGTGACACAACACTGGCCTTATCCATTGTTATATGTTTTCCACTCTGGCTTCACGTCAGATCCTATCGCTCTTCCGCCTTTTATTCCCACAGCCCAAAATCCCCTAGTCGTTCTATGCCAGCATTAACACAAACCAGGTAACGTTTGGCAGGCAAAGTCACAAGGTCAGTGCGGACACGCTCTGTGGAACACGCCAAGCCACACAGCTCAGCAAAAGGCGGCCCAGCGCCAACTTCATCCTGTGGAGAAGCTGGCGGCCAAACCGGGGCCGTTTGTCTTAAGAGGCGGGCCGGGTCCCGTTCGTCTCATCTTCCGCCCGGGGCAGCCCCTCCTCGGCTCTCTCTCCAGCCCTCCCTTGAAGGGGGGGGCTGTGCCTGCTCAGTGCCCCCTTCCCTTCAACTCCCTGGTGTCCTGGATCTCCTTCCCCAGAACGCAGACCCGACCGTCGGCCACAGAGACTCTGCAGACCTACCGTGATGGGGCTGGGGACGGCGGCCACCACGATACCAATAGGTTGCGGAGACAAGATGGCCGGACTCCCGTTTGAAAGGCTGGCGACCCCGTTGTTGTTGTTGTTGGCAGCCACCCCTTCGGCCTTCTTGGCTGGGGACTCTCCCGGCAGAGGCGACTGGAGCTTCTGCTCCTGCTGCTTCTTCTGGATCTTGCGCTGCAGCTGCTGCTTGGCGTCCATGGGGGAGGAGAGCGTCTTCACCTGAGGCTGGAACGAGTGGCTCTCGGCCGTCGGGACGAAAGCGGACGGCTGAGGGGTCCCTTTGATTCCTGAAAGAGCAACGACAGGCCGAATGGCAGGAGCAAAGGGACGGAGAGATGGCCCGGGGGGTGGGAGTGGGGGAGTATTTTATTGGATCTCATCAAGCTTGAGCTGTTTGCTTTTGGACCACTCAGTGAGAGCATCGGCTGTTGAGCAGCATTTTACTGATTCCCTTTTAGGGTTGCCCTGCTGTGAGAGGTGGAAACACCCCCCCCCACACACACACACACACACTCACGACCACACCACAGGTAAACCGGAGGGCTGCCAGGCCAAAGTCCTTCCCATGGTCAGGCCAGCTCTCCAGGCCGAGAAGGGCTGCAGGGCTTTTCCCCACCGGGGTGGTGGTGGTGGTGGTGGTGTGGGAGCTGCATATCCCACCAAACAGCCGGCCCACCCCTCTGGTGACCGACAGCAGCCAGCGGGACGGACTGGATGCGGCCCTTCTTCTGAAGATGTGGGCATGCCTTTGAGGCCACGGCAGCCTCGGGCCTCTGAGGCCACAGGGCCCTCGGACAAGCTCTGATCCGCCTCCGCTTCAGGGAGACAGGGGCCTCTCCACAGCCAGCCCCACCCTGTGAAATCCAGGGGCTCTGCGGTGTGACAGCAACACACACCCATTTCTACCATGGGGACACGGGACTACTTCGGCCGTGGCAGCTGGAGGCTCTTTCATGGGGTTCCTCAGTAAGGGTGCCGAGAAGGAGCCAATATTGCAACCCTGAACAAGAGAGGAAGGCGGCTTTCTGCAGACCAGGTTCAGTGGCCCGGATGGAGAGGAGACGCGCCAGGAGCCATGCTGATGCCCCTCCGAGCACGCCTCCTGCCACCATCGCCACCCCCCCTGCAATAAACAACCCATGCTGGGCTTTAGCAGCACAACAGCCCCTCCCTGAGTGACCAGTCAACCTCCCCCCCTCTCACCTGCTGGGGCTCCAGCCATCACTGTCAAAGCGGCCATGGATTTGGTGCCGATGTAGTGGCTCTTGACAAGGAAACGGGAGAGATCCAGGACCGAATCAAAGGGCTGGCTGAGCACCTTCTGGGCCCACTCGCAGACCAGCTGGCAGGCGGCTGACACCACCTCCTCATCAGCACTCTGCAGGTGCCCAGAGGGCTCAGCTCCTTCCAGCTAAACCAAAGCAAGGAAACCAAGAGGAGATTCTCAGCAACAGCAGCCTCCGCCGCCACCCCAAGCCAAACAATGCCCCCGCGGCCCACCCATCGAAGGCCCACCGCCCTTCAGGAAACCCAGACCTCCTTCCCCAGCCCAGGCTGGCGGAAGGCCCAGTGAGCGCAGCCGGGGGGGGGCAATCTGGCTTCCCTTGAGAACGCCACCGGCTTTTTATCACTAACCTATCCAAACTTACGTTGTGAGCCACACATCCAGTAAGTTAGGCAAAACTGAGTTACGTTACGACTGGCACAAGAAAGATGGACATCTTTCTCCTTCTATGGTATGGCTTTTTCAAAATTACTTTTATCCTTCCAGGTTGTTTTCTATGGTCTCCCTACGTACGTACAGAGGTTCCATATTGCAACTCCCTGAGGCTGTGGCCCTTGCACCCTCACATCCGACCTGGGCGGGCGAAGGAGCACCCTTGGCTCTGTCGCTGCACTCAGTTACTCCTGAGAAGGAACCTCCTCTGAGTGGTGGTTCTCTAACTAAACCACAACACGTATCTCTGCGTTACAGATGAGACATGGACAGCAGCACGGGCCATTCGTACGACCGCCTCTGTGTGTAAATGAAGGTGGATTATTTACCCCATCTCCCGTTTTACGGAAGTCCAGGTTAGGAAGCGTCGGCATCTGCACAAAAGCCTTCTTCCGCAATCCGCTGTAGCAATACGTGATTTAGAAAATTAAGGCATCATATTAACTTCAATGAGAGAACTAGTTCATCTTCTTTTCTGTTCTACCAACTTCCTTGCACAGAACAAAAGAAATCACATTTGGTCTGTACCCATGCAGGGGAATCGAAATCTAGGGTCTCTGCATGGAAGCTTGGAGGCTAAGAGAACCACACAGCTCTCTTGCTCTCTCAAACTGAGCCTTCCAGGAAGAGAGGGAGAAAATGAGAGAGAGAAAAAGACAGACAGACAGACAGACAGACAGACAGACAGACAGAGAGAGAGAGAGAGAGAGAGATGTCCAGAAAGACATTCAAGTAAAGGATATTTTGATTTGCCTCTGGTGCCAAGGCGGCGAGCCTTCATGTTGGGAAAGACATTTTTCATGATCTTCCCGAAGTCAGCTGCACTTAATGGGTGGTAGCCAAGATTGTCACAATAGCTCCTGAAAAAGCAAGCCACAAGAGCCCGGTCACCCCCATCGCGGCAGGCCAGGCCAAAGCCTCTCAGCCTGGGCGATGCCCCGGCTCACCCCTTTGGGCTCAAGCATCTTCTCCGCTTTTGGCGTTCTTTGGCACCAGCAGCGGCAGCTGACCATTCTGGTATCTGCCCTGGCCTGGCAGGATCGCTGGGGTAACACTTACTTGTATTCATCGTACACCTCCTGCTTTGGGAGGGAGGTCTCCGGGTGCTCCTCTAAGGTGTTCCGGATCCAGGAGAAGGCATGCACCTGCTGGGCGCGGTTGGATGACCCGGACAGCTGATCGCTGCGCCAGGGAGGGAGAAGAGGGCCGATTAGGGTTAGGAGGGCCCTTCAAGGGACTCCCAGCTCACCCCCCATCGCCCCCACCCAAGTGTTCCAAGGCAAAAGGGAGGCGGGCGGGCGGGCAAGCTTGGCAGGGCGCCCGCGGCCTCACCGGGTCAGTTAACCAGGGCACCTGAACTCAAGTTGGCCGGCGGTCAGGATCTCACCTACAGGAGTGTTTCTGAGACACGGAAGGGAGACTAGGAGGATACTGACCTTCCTACCTCGTGCCCCATTGTCTCCAGGCAGCATAGCTTCTGGCCATGGCAAATGGGAGTTGTACTCTGCTCTGTCAGAGGACACCATGGCAGGGGAAGCTGATTTAGGCTGATGAACGAAGCAGCTTCTCCCTCAGGAGAGACCTTGCCCTGCCATGTTCTCTCGCTATCCCTAAAGCCTCCGAGCAACAGAAAAGCCTGCCCCCACTTTGCAGGGCCCCCCCGTACACAAAATGCCGTGGAGGAAGACAGCCGTGGAAGCCCTCTGGTGGTCCACCACAGCCCTCTGGCTGCGTCTGGGCTGCCCTTTCCATTGAGTCCACCCCCGCCCCCCGCTTGGACTGGCTGTGCTTCTTTAGGGGTGATGGGAGTTACAGGGGAGGATGGGGGGGGGGGAAGAAAGACCCTGAAGGGCCACCAACCATCCACCCCTGCTTCAAACTGCTGGTGTATGCACGCACGCACGCACGCCGCCTCTCTTCTCGCCCCAAAAATAGCCCCTGCTAGCAGAGCCTTGGATCCCCCCTACCTTGGCAGGCGTCGCTGTGTGCCACGAGCCACACTGACTGGGGGAATGCCAGGGGCCAACTGCTGCAAGGGGTCACTTTCCCAGGCAGCCATGCCTGGACCCAGAGGAGAACTCAGGGAGGGGGGAGGGTCGAAGAGGAGGGAGAGGCTGGCCCAGCAGCAGCAGCTGCCATGAGCAGCAAAGGAGGAGTTCCTTCCCTGCTCAGTGGGCTCAGCACTGGCGCCCCCCCCATCCTCAGGCCCAGAGGTACAGAGACAGATAAGAAGCCGGGGGTGGGGTGGGGTGGGGGGGAAGGTAGGCCAGGAAGTGTGTCTTGCCCCCAGTCAGCAAGGATCTCCATCCCCACCCCTGGTCTCTTGTCCTTTTGCACATGAGAACGAGAGGAACAAGGGTGACATCCTTCATTTCTCTCCCAGCAAGAGGCTGAGATACGAGAGGAAAGACAAGGCAGGGCAGATGGGGGGGGGGTGCCATCCCAGTCCAGGGAGCCTGAGCGAGAGGCTGGGGCCCGAGAAAGGGCTGCCTCGCAAGCAGGACACAGAGCAACACAAAATGCCCATGGAAATCACACAAAGAGCCGCCGGGCGCCTTACCTTTTCTCTCCACTGCTGGGACCAGAAGGCAGTTGAAGGTAGAGGTAGAGTTTCTGTAGATCTGTAAACTTCTCAACTTCTTGCTAAAACAGTTTTCAGAAGAGACAGAAACAAATGGATCATGTCACACAATGGAGCCCATAAGGTAATCACAGCTTCACTTACAATTTGCTTCCAAATTCATGTCATGGCGCTGGCGTTGACCTACAAAGCCTTCAGCAGCTTAGGGGCAAGATACCAGAAAGACCAGCTCCTCCTGTGTAAGCCTGCCTGGAATCTGAGACCTTCAGCAAAGGCCCCGCGGACGCCCTCGTCACCCTGAGAGGCAGGCCGGGCTGGTGAGCGAGCGCACAAGCAGGGCCTCCTTAGCAGCCGCCCCCAGACTGCCAAGCTCCCGCCTACGAAATGTCAGGCCGGCTCCTTCACAGCTGCACCCGTGGCAGGCAGCCAAAAAAACACTTTACCCCACACGGCCTTTGGTCTTTAACCTTGGCTTCAAATCTGGCTTTTAAAATTGGTTTCAACTGCTCTCAAAGAATGTTTTAATCTATTTTCTGCATGTCGCTGTGGCAGCCACACGGGAGTGGCCTCCCCTCGGGAGACACACAGGAGTCATGGAGCTGGTCCGTGTGCTATTAGACCCCCCCTCCCTCCACGAACCTCCTGGCCTCAACCCAAGTCCCTCCGATGGCTGGTTCAAAGGGAGCTGGGGGCTCACATGAAAAGGAAATCAAGATACTGTCCTAACTTTTAAGGGTGCTTTACAGTCAGTCTGTATACCGTACAAAGCTGCTCCTTTTTAGATTGCAGAGACACTGACAGAGCGTTACAGATCAAGAACACCCCTTCCTTACTCCAGAGGCCAGCCTCACCCACTTCGTCCGCCCCTGCACAAATCGTGGCCACGTAACAACCACGGGCGCTTCCGCTTTGAACTTACCAAAATGCAGTCCACTTTAGATTGCACAGTTTTGCTAGACAAAAGAGAACAAAAGGGAAAACAAAGGTTTATACATAAGGCGACGATTTATGCAGCAACTGAAACATCTGTTTGGATTTTGCTGGCGGCAGTGAGAGGTTCTTCCCTCGGCTAGCCGCCGGCCAATTCCCCAGGGAGCTGCCACCAGACACCCCACCACCCCGTCCCTGGCAAACGCTCGGGGCTCCATCGACAGGGCCCCTATCCTGAGCGGTACTGGACACCTGCTGGCTCAACCAGCCTCCCAGGAGTCGCCTCTTTCGCAACTCAGCAAGAGGATCCGCAACCTCAGCAGCAAGGCCCTGCCCTAGAAACCAAGCCCTCACACGACACGGGGCGCTGAGGCCACCGAGCTCTGCTCAGCCACAAGTGGGGCTAGGGGCTGCCCGCCCGCGTGCCCACTCCTCGGGCCGTGGCTCTGGCTCCCTGCAAGCCCCACCGCAGCCCCTCTGGCCCCTTCTCCTCCCAGGCCCCCTGCGTCTCCCTGCCCGTGCACTTCGCTCCTCCCATTCGACCCCCTCAACTCGCAAAAAGAGCCTCGCCGTGGGCTGCCCCCCACCCCTAGGGCGCCAGCTCTCTCTTAACGTTCAGAGGAGATCAGTCTGCGCTGCCAGGGCGGCCAATGCTCGTCCCCAGCCGGCGTCTCCGTCTACTACAGGTGCCCCACGGAGAACACGCTCAGGCCCCACCGGGGATGGCGGCTTTTCTCAAGCCCCCTCCCTTCCTGGTTCCCATCCAAGGATGGCCCCATCCTCACGAGAGTCCTGGTGGCGAGATCCCCTCCACCCCCCCGCCCCGCCCCCTCTCGTTACCTACTCTCTTCCTTTAGGAACCCTCCACGGTCGCATCCTGCAGCCGCCGCAGCTGCCGCAACCGCAGATTCTGGACGTTCCTTTGGGGTGCCTTCATCCAGAAGGATGCTACTCGGTCAGCCCTCAGCCAACGGCCCACTGATTTCTGTGCAGGATCCCTTGTGCCCGATTCAAGAGAGAGAAAGCCGCCCCCGACCCCCTGACCCCTGCCCTCTTCCTGCCTACGCCAGGCACCCGCCGTCTCTCAGCCCTCACTGTGTCCTCCCTCCCCCAGGGCCTCAGCCCCCTTTTTCTTGCCCTGAAGAGCCGTAGGGAGGAGGCCTGGCCTCCACGTCCAGCTCTCAGGGGGCGTCCTTCCTTCCCCCGGTTGCCCAAAGGGAGCGAGGCCCTGAACAGAGCCGACCCCCCCACACCCGAAGGCCGGGAGCCCCAAGCCCCAATGGGGGCAAAGCCTTCCAGCGGGGCTGCGACCAGGGGAGCCCGCCGGTCTGCTTGCTCCACGCCCTGGATCTCTCCGGGCAGGAGGAAGAAAGGGGACCCCCTTCTCTGCCCGCAGAGCTGACCCTGACCTTAACCCACCGACAGACTAACGTGGGAACAATCATATCAGGATGAGTCCAGGGAGCGGGGAGACCAGAGAAGAGAGGTGTGAGCGGCGCTGGCAGACGGCTGGCCCCTGGCAAGACCCGTCAGGGCCCATTTGGCCACCCTCGCCAAATGCTGCAAAGACTTGCACTGGATTTTTCCTCTTCCCTCCCCCTTCCTTCTTCCTTGTGTGCCATGTCTTAAATTTAGAGTACAAGTCGATTCACACCCTGCTTATTTTGTAAGCCTCTCCAGGAACCCTTTTAGGATGGGGTGTAAATGACATTATTAAATAATAAAACACGCCTCTACCCGAACCAAAGAATTCAGGGCACCTGCTGGACATCAAACTTCCAGCTTGAGTCATTTGACCCTAATTTAGCTCTGTGAGACCCCGGGGGGGGGGAGAAACCCCTAGGCAGGACACAAGGTTTTTGTAACTCTCAGCCACATCCTCTCCTCCTGCAAGGGGACACCCGGTCCTTGACAGATCCTGCCTGCTTGCGATGGACTCTCCTCTCTCCCTCTCTCTCTCTCTGCCACGTTCTGTCATTCTGGACCTGCGGTGCCAGGCGGTTCTCCTCACCTCTCCTTTCCCCTGTGCTCCAAATGAACCCAAATGATAAGGAACAGAGAAACGCCAAGCTCCCCATTTAGAGACACACAACCAAACTGCCCCCCCCGCGCGGTGCCAGTGGTGTCCTCCCTCTCCTCCTCCCTCCCAGCCTTCCTGTTGGCCCCACAGGAGGGGACGAGACATGTCTGTCACAAGGACAGCGTGGCCCCTTGAAAGGAGGAGGGCGGGACAGAATCGGGCGGCTGGAAAAGAAGTGCGGGCAAAGGGCCTTTTCAAAGCTCCCTCATTTCTGCCACCTTTTTGAGACCGTCAAACGGGCGGTGGCGTCCTGAGTCTCGGACGAGCCCTTCCGCCTACCAGGCACCACCTCCCCTGAGACCGTGGCCAGCATTTAAACCTGCCTCCTCCAAGTGGAAGCTATTTGCCGAAGCCCCACCAGAACAATGCCCGCACCAGGCAACGGGGAGGGAGGGGCTCGGGTCAAGAGCCACGGGACCCCGGGGGTGTGTGTGTGTGCCCTGCAGGGTTGGCCATTCGCAAAGAAAGCTGCCAGCCGGCCCGCAATGCTTTGGGCTGTTCCGGTGGTGGAGGAGCTTTTTCCGCAGCAGCCGTGGCCAACTCGGAGCACCGTTTGACTTAAAGGAAAGGCCAAAAAAGGCCACTTTTCCCTGGAAAGGGCTTGTCCTCAAGACTCCTGGGCTGTTGTGAAACCGGACCTTTGCACGCCAGGCTGTGCCGAGGAGTTCAACCCGGGACGAGCCAGCCAGCCAGCCAGCCAGCTTCTCAGTGACCCCAAGCAGGACGAGCCAGCCAGCCAGCCAGCCAGCCAGCCAGCTTCTCCGTGACCCCAAGCGAGAGGCAGACTACTTGCTTGCTTGCCCTTCTCGCTTCCCAGCTGACCCTGGCGCTCGGCCACCACCGGCTCCTCCCGAGTCCGGCTCCCTACAGGTACAAGGCGGAGGACACACCAAGCGCACTTGCGGCATGGAAGCCAGGCCTCCAGGTCTCCTTCACCTCCCCTGCTTTCACCCTCAACCTTTAACTCCTTCCTCTCTCCAGGGAAGCCCATCAGGCCAAGTGTGGGAAGACGCAAGACGGACAGAAGACTGAGGACACAAAGACACGGGACACAGGTGGACGCAGCCCTCCACGCAGAACACCTTCCTATTTTCTGAAACCCAGAAAGGTGACAACACAGGTGGTCCTTGACTGGAATGGGGGAGGGGCCAGGGGCCAGAGGGTGCTCCGGCCACCTAGACTTTTGGGGGACAGCCCCCTCCCCCCATTCAGGTCGCAAAGCACTGAGTTTCGGATCAGACGTGGCCTACAAGCCTCCAGGCGTTTGGCTCCCCGCAGACTCACTCTGTGCAAGGGCCAGGCTTTCCGACACTTAGCATGCGCTGAAATACTTCCCCATCTGTCCAGAGCCCTCCAATCTGTTTTTGCGGGGGGGGGTCACCCTGAGAACGCCCAGGAGCCCACGACAACCGTAAGGAATGAACCCACAAGGGGAAGAGGAAACACAGGGGCGCCCGTACTTTGGGATTTTGCCCTCCAGCTCTGCATCCTCATTGTGAGAACCTGAGATACGCTCGGCGCCTCCGATGGTTCCCTCCCCGACACCCTGAAGCGTTGCCACGACTTTTGGCCGAAGGGCGGCAAACGGGCACGGAGCGAACTTGCAACCTGTTCGGGCCTGGCATGCTCTCAGTTCAGGGAGGACTGCCTCATAACACGGAGGCACAGGATCGTGGCCTCAGAGGCGGGGCGGTGGAAGACCGGCCACGATAAGAAGAGAAACACAGGCCCAGAAACACCTCTGGAACTTTAAAAACACCCTCCGTTTTATCCAATTATTACTTTAGGAACATGAAGAAAAGTATCCCCTAAAATGTATAAACATTGCAAACAACATCAAAGACGTTTTACTGCCTTAGCAAACATACAAGGCTTCACTTATAATTTAGTTACTATCTGAAATTATACTGTTTGGCATATTTTTGAGATTTGAACACACATACACAAAGAGTACACATGTACACATATACATATACATACATGCATGCATGCATGCATGCACACAGAGTATATATGTGTATATATGTATGTATGCATGTATGTATGTATATGTGTACTCTTTGTGTATGTGTGTTCAAATCTCAAAAATATGCCAAACAGTGTAATTTCAGATAGTAACTAAGTTATAAGTGAAGGCTGATACAGTATATATATAATCAGAATGTGAATAAATAAATATTCCCCGTAATTAAAGAGAGAGGGGCCAAGTGCTGGACCTTAGGCAAGGCACTCTAGCATGGACAAAGCCTCCAGACGTGCCCCGTGCCCCCCTCTGACCACCCCAGATCACCTTCTGTGGTCAGCCACAAGTGGCTCAGGCCACTGATTCCAGGCCAGCCAAAAGCTTCCCGGCTGTCCAGGGAGGTTTCCATTTGCATTTGAATTGGAACCTACCTAATCTGCAGTTCCTGAACCAAAAACACTAATGGAAACATACAGCAGTATTTCAGGATCAATATGTCTCAGCCCGACGACTTAAAAATGCACAGAAAATGGTACGTTGCGGGGACATTTATAGACAAAAAGTGCCTTTGCGTGGAAATATTGGTGGGAATCTTACTGGCGACCACTGGTGGTTTGCGCCGCTTGCTCTGGCGAACAGACTAGGTGCTCGGTGGGCCATCAGGAATGTGACCAGGCAGGCGCCCGGCTGAGAGAGGCTCCGCCATCTTGTCAATGAGCTGCAATTAGCCGCAGCAAATCACGCACAGCTGAGATGAACAGCGAGAGGGTTCCAGCCCGTGCGCACCAGCGGAAGGGCTCGGCCTGAGGCCCCTCGGCAGGTACACAAAGACTAGCTGGGGCCCGCCAAACGCCACGTTTGCAAGGGGGCCACCAACACATGCCCCTGCAGGAGCAGGGGGGGGGAAGAAATGGGGTGACCACCGCAGCACCACCAGAGGGTGTGGGGTGGGGGTCATGCCATCCCTGACTCTGCTCCTCTCCTTCCCTGCCCTAAATCTCCAACATGGTGCCCTTTCCCCTCAGTCAGCAGAACTGACTGACTGACTGCCCGGGCAGCCCACTGGGGGCCCGTGTGTGTGTGCGTGCGTGCGTGCGTGCGTGCGTGTGTGCGTGTGTGTGTGTGTGTTCAACCCTCCCCAGCCAACCTCTCCCCGATTGTCCGGCACCTCCTGCTATTCCTCCGCCACCCGGCAGGCCCCGTCACCCTCACCCACCTCCCTAAATTAGCCAAAGCCCCATATTCACAGACGGTGGCGATGCCTTTGGTGAGGGCTCAGCGTCTGGACACAAAAGCGATTAGCACAAAAGCTTTAATGAATCTAAAATGAAAAAAAAAACTGAAACACAGAGATTAAATCCCAAAAGCACAACAGCAAAGGCAGCGGCAATTTTCAACACGGCCCTAAATGACATTAATCGGGGTTTCTGGGTGCTATTGCTGCCCAAGCCCCCCCAGCCTTTTTGTCTAGACATCTAATCCACAAATGGGGAAGGCGGGGAGAGAAAGCCAGCCCTCCCCCCCCTCCCCCATCATTTCAGGTCTTTTCTTCAGGACAGTAAAAAAAATCATGTCATGGTCAGCACAACACAAAGCAACAAGCTATAAGCC